TGGTTGGAAACTATTTTGTGCAACTTTTTTGTATTTACAGTTTTGAGGGATAAGCCTCTTACATTACTCTAACTAGAAATATATGTTAAAAAAAAACCCAAACGATTTTCAATTTGTTTTTTGTAGTTTATTGCAATTTATGTAGCTACTATGGACTTCATGCATACATATTATTAAAATTTGGGATATACCTGTTGTATTGATGTATAGCAACTTGAAATGCTCCCACAAATGGCACTACAGCATGTAAAAATATAAAGATAATCTCTGGCGGACTTGGTTCTATGGTAGGTCTTAAAGGGTTAATCTATTTACTTATAGTATTTGCTTATTAACAACTAAATGTATAGTTTTCATTCAAATAACACAACACAGACTCATGGTGGGCTGATTGTATTTATACCCATGCGTAGTCACCCACTCAAGGCCCGTTCTGAGCCAGGAGAAACCTTGTCCGTGTGCATGTTTTAGACTCAGCTGGTCCTCTGTGATTATCATGTCACCAACTGCTCTGAAGGAGAAAACCACCAGACCCATTCTTTGTATGCGGCTTCCTCTATTGTCCTTTAATCGCAGGTTGTAAATCTCTTTCTGGGCATTTGTGTTGGTGAGAAGCTCCTTACCGCCACATGCTCCTTTTGTTACTGTATACGCATGAGCACTCGCCCAGCCTTCTACAGCTTATTGGGTGGCTGCTTACCATTTCAGTGATGCAGAGAAAGACAGGTATTGTAAACCACTTAATAAGTTGAAATGACAGAGGCGGAGTACACTTGGGATGAAGGAGGGAGGCTAGCTCAGCTGAACAGTCTCGCCTGGCAGCAACGTGGTGAGATGATAGTTGGCAACTGTCCTGCCTGTCGATGTGTGGAGTGTGTCAGAGAGCGGGGGACTGAATGGAGAGAGTGAAACGAAGGGGGTGGGTGTGGGTGTGTGTCCGTCTGCTCAGCTGTGTTGAAAGCCTGCCAGTGTCTGGTCGTCTCAGCTGGGTCTTTTTTATCTGGTCTATTGGAGCGGTGTCAACAGCCTGAGGGGGATACAGCCTGGCCTGGCGTGGCAGAGTCTGGTCTGGTCTCCCAGCAGCTCTCTGGATGAGAGAGCAGCAGCAAGTTAATCAGTGTATAATGCAAGGCACTAACAAGGATTTTATTCCCTCCAGCGGCACACATCTTAATGTATGCACTCAGACTTCTTGAGCGTGAGCGCTATTTTGGCTTGGATGTAGTTGGATTTTTATAAACCCTTCAGCCAAACTTTGAAACTTATGACAGTCATGGCTGCTGTATTGCAGTGCTGATTTGGTTTGTTGTGCTCTCTGTTTTAGGCTCTGCTGACAGCTGTTTGGTTTATCTAGCCCATAGGTGTCAAACTCTGGCCCGCGGGCCGAATTTGGCCCGCAGCCTAATTACATTTGGCCCGCAAAGCCATACCAAATTATTATTAGAGCTGGCCTACTGGTATTATACAGCTAATATATATATTGTTTAGTATTAAGCTTTGCTCGTTCCATATTCAGTTTTTCAGCAAAACTTAAGAAGAGATTCATTCTTAAATCTGGAGGAAGATTTTTTTTTTCAATAAATATTAATGTTAGCCCGCGACTTTGTTCCAGTTTTGAATTTTGGCCCACTGTGTATTTGAGTTTGACACCCCTGATCTAGCCCATTCAAGTAGATTAAGTTGTGAATGCACTAGAGCTCCAACGATTCGAGTAATCCAAAAATAAAAAATTCTCGACAAACATTCTTTGCTTCGATGCTTCGTTTAACACGTGGCTCTGTGTTATTTCGCACACATTTGCGACGGAAAACAGACCTGCAATAGAAATATATTTATGACAACATTAAGCCCACGCAGCAACCAATTTTAAACAAGAACCAATAACACAAAAGCAACAGTGATGATGACACTGGCACAGTTTAATGTGGAACTGGAGTCTTTTTACACACCGCGAAGATGTACTCACCATTAAAACATTTAAGGGGGGGGGGGGCATGTGGTATACTAGACCAGATTAATTTAAAAGCTTTGGGAACATTTTTCAGATTAAAAGGGAATTAATCAAAGATATTGTGTTCATTAAATTGTAATAATATGTAAAAACATAAAAATAAAGGCATTTTTCACAAGCCAATAAAAATGGACATGCACCAGTAAAGCTCTGGACGCTGAATTATTATTAATATTAATTAACATCTAAACCATTATGCATCTGTTTTCAGCTGCACAGAAACTTTGCGTCAGAGCACAGGACAAACTTCAGAATGCTGATATGCTCGCTTTTCTTCATTGCAGCTACCACATTCTCCTTTAAAGGCTTACAGATGCAAACTCACTTTTTGCTTGACTTCTTCACACTTAGACTCACATGCACAAAAACCCATAAACATGGACACACAACAAATCTGCCTCATCCAGGAGATAAAACTCTGCCAGAGAGAACTTTCTGTTTATATATTTTTGCATTCAAGACAAGGTTTTCTTTAAAAAATAAAATTTAATATGGCATGTGAATACAATCAAAGGCTTTTTTTTCCTGACAGATGTTATATGCAGTTAAACTTACAACATTGCAATTTCTAAAATGGAAACCACTTTATCTCTTATCCAATTACTCGATTAATCGGAGGACTAATCAATAGATTATTCGATTACTAAAATAATTGATAGCTGCAATTAGACCAGTAGTTGTTTGAACTTTGCTGTCTGCTTCGTTGTGCACCTGAAGAACATGTTTATTAAATCCCTTATTTGTATTTTATAACTATACAATGATGGTTGCAGTTGATTTGATTCAAAATTTTTGGTGCCCATTGAAGTTGCTTAATGTCATTAACATTTCAGTTGCTGTAACCAGAATGTTTTCCTGTTTGGATGCCTTTTAAGATGTTACACAGACAGTAAATGGCAGCAACTCTGTCTCTGTGATGGGAAGTTGTAAACAAGGAATGTGAGACAATCCTAAAAACCACAGAGCAATCTCTGGAGTGTAAAATAATGGCAGTATGGAAGTGTCAAAAACTGCAGTTTCTCTTGTAACCATTTGAGACTGGCTCCAAAAGCAAGATAACCCCCTTAGACTCCTATGTTAAAATGCACAATATTACAGCATTAAAAAA